GACTGGGATATGGTAGGAAAGTGAGATGACGGGTGACCAGGTGTTCGAATAAGGTGTTCGAATAAGCGGGCGTCTGAAGAGGCGGGCGTCCGAAGAGGCGGGCGGGCATCCGAATAGGCGGGCGGGCGTCCGAATAGGCGGGCGGGCGTCCGAATAGGCGGGCGTCCGAATAGGCGGGCGTCCGAATAGGCGGGCGTACGAATAGGCGGGCGTACGAATAAGCGGGCGTCCGAATTAGCGGGCGTCCGAATAAGCGGGCGTCCCAATAAGCGGGTGTTCGAATAACTGGGTGTCCGAATAACTGGGTGTCCGAATAACTGGGCGTCCCAATAACCGGGCGTCCCAATAACCGGGCGTCCCAATAACCGGGCGTCCAAATAACCGGGCGTCCAATAACCGGGCGTCCAAATAACCGGCGTCCCAATAAGCGGGTGTTTCGAATAACTGGGTGTCCGAATAACTGGTGTCCGAATAACTGGGCGTCCCAATAACCGGGCGTCCCAATAACCGGGCGTCCCAATAACCGGGCGTCCAAATAACCGGGCGTCCAAATAACCGGGCGTCCCAATAACCGGGCGTCCCAATAACCGGGCGTCCAAATAACCGGGCGTCCAAATAACCGGGCGTCCAAATAACCGGGCGTCCAAATAACCGGGAGTCCCAATAACCGGGTGTCCGCATAACCGGGCGTCCCAATAACCGGGTGTCCCAATAACCGGGCGTCCGCATAACCGGGCGTCCGCATAACCAGGCGTCCCAATAACCGGGCGTCCCAATAACCGGGCGTCCAAATAACCGGGCGTCCAAATAACCGGGGGATCGAATAACCGGGGGATCGAATAACCGGGGGATCGAATAACCGGGGGTTCGAATAACCGGGGGTTCGAATAACCGGGCGTTCGAATAAGCGGGCGTCCGAACAGCTAAATGATCGGATATACCCACAAGCCATTTTCCTGACCCCCTTACCAAGACACCCACAAGCTCAATATTATCAATATTATTGTCTATATTAATATGGTCAATATTACACGTAATATCGTTTCTATTTCATTTATAAACACGACGATTGTCCACAGTTCACCGACGATAACTTTCACTACACTGATAATCTTACTGTGTTCTTTAGTTTGGGTTTTATATAGAAAACTATGTTATGAGGCTTTGAAACCGTTGATTGGTCTTGTACTGTTACAGAGAAACCGTTGATTGGACTTGTCCTCTCACAGAGAAACCGTTGATTGGTCTTGTCCTCTCACAGAGAAACCGTTGATTGGTCTTGTACTGTTACAGAGAAACCGTTGATTGGTCTTGCACTGTTACAGAGAAACCGTTGATTGGACTTGTCCTCTCACAGAGAAACCGTTGATTGGTCTTGTCCTCTCACAGAGAAACCGTTGATTGGTCTTGTACTGTTACAGAGAAACCGTTGATTGGTCTTGTACTGTTACAGAGAAACCGTTGATTGGTCTTGTACTGTCACAGAGAAACCGTTGATTGGACTTGTCCTCTCACAGAGAAACCGTTGATTGGTCTTGTACTGTCACAGAGAAACCGTTGATTGGTCTTGTACTGTTACAGAGAAACCGTTGATTGGTCTTGTACTGTTACAGAGAAACCGTTGATTGGTCTTGTACTGTTACAGAGAAACCGTTGATTGGTCTTGTACTGTTACAGAGAAACCGTTGATTGGTCTTGTACTGTCACAGAGAAACCGTTGATTGGACTTGTACTGTCACAGAGAAACCGTTGATTGGACTTGTCCTCTCACAGAGAAACCGTTGATTGGACTTGTCCTCTCACAAATCGCTGATTGGTCTTGTCCTCTCACAGATAAACCGTTGATTGGACTTGTCCTCACAAAAAACACCGGTGATTGGACTTGTCCTCTGAGTGATAAACCGTTGATTGGACTTATCCTCTCACAGATAAACCGTTGATTGGACTTATCCTCTCACAGATAAACCGTTGATTGGCCTTGTCCTCTCACAGAGAAATCGTTGATTGGACTTGTCCTCTCACAGATAAACCGTTGATTGGCCTTGTCCTCTCACAGAGAAATCGTTGATTGGACTTGTCCTCTCACAGAGAAACCGCTGATTGGTCTTGTCCTCTCACAGATAAACCGCTGATTGGTCTTGTCCTCTCACAGATAACCGCTGATTGACTTGTCCTCTCACAGATAACCGCTGATTGGACTTGTCCTCTCACAGATAAACCGGTGATTGGTCTTGTCCTCTCACAGATAAACCGCTGATTGGACTTGTCCTCTCACAGATAAACCGCTGATTGGACTTGTCCTCTCACAGATAAACCGGTGATTGGTCTTGTCCTCTCACAGATAAACCGCTGATTGGTCTTGTCCTCTCACAGATAAACCGCTGACTGGACTTGTCCACTCACAGATAAACCGCTGACTGGACTTGTCCACTCACAGATAAACCGCTGACTGGACTTGTCCACTCACAGATAAACCGCTGACTGGACTTGTCCTCTCACAGATAAACCGCTGACTGGTCTTGTCCTCTCAAAGATAAACTGATGATTGGACTTATCCTCTAATAACGAAACCGCTGATTGGTCTTTCGAATTGGACTGGAAACCGCTGATTGGTCTGGAATCTTTCCCTATTCATATACACTTTCGCGCTTTATATTAGAGATAACTCGTCACTGGTTTTTCTTACGATTCCGCATAACTGCCTACTTTTCTCGTCAATCGAAAAAAATATTTCTATAAATTCCATTTTTTTAAAACCGAAATGGATGGGGATACTTTTGTTTTTGTAGAGAATTTATTTGCAAATTTTGTGGTACCAGAATGAATATTATATCACATAAACTTCTATGAGTAAAAAAAAAATACCCAAAGTATGTTTGGGGGTGTGGCAAGCGTGTGGCAGTGGGTTCCCTTTAGCCGTTTGATATATCCAACACGTGGGAAATATTTGTATGTGTTATGTATATGTCTGTGTAGGGAATTTTACTGCGATCACTGTCATACAAATTATAAAATGTTTCAACAAGTATAAACATGACAAACGTCAAACGAACGAAAACAATGCGTTCGTTTCTGCCGCGAACGCATACTGAGCGACGTGGTTCTATATTTGGCGCTTCTCTTACACATGCTTTGTACCAATGTTATACAATTCATCTTATAGAAATTTTATTGCGAACACATTGATACAAAACGAAATACGTACATAGAAAGTAGGGTCAGGAAACGTATAAACTTTCCAAGCATGATTTCCCCCCTGTGTTTTCGCCAGTGCGCTCGCGGCTAACTACTCTCCACTTCACACACTCTTGCGGGTGGGCAATTACCTATATTAAACATTCATATGCATTGTCCGTGTAGAGAATTTTATTGCGATTCCAATGATACCAAAATTAGCGATGTAGGACAACTGTAGGCTTCGCAACCATTAAGAAGTGGAAACATTTTGTTGCTGTTTGGCGCTCTCGGCGAGTGATCTGCATAGTTTTTTATTTGGTGTTGATACTCCTTATGCTTGGGCGGCATTTTATAGGTATGCTCTTATAGACAATTTCATTGCGAACACAGTGATACCAAATTTAAATACGTGCGCCTTCAATTATTGTCAGGACAGTCAAAAGAGTGTACACTTTTTCGGTCTTACCGCGTAGGCGCGCGAAGTGCCGAAAGCATCTGGGGTATTTTTTTTTTTTGAGCGCCGAGAGCGCGAAAGTGTTAAGGCTACTCATAGCCCAGTCGATAGCACTTCAGACACGCACACCATTGGGTCCAGAGTTCGAGGCCCCCACAGCCCAGGTGACTGAGGCAACATATGATATGCAACTAATCTTTGATATCAAGTGTGCACTCCAATGCACAATGCCAACCACAACAGCTTGATACAACCCTGAGGACTCAGTTGGGGGTAGAGAGAGAGAGGAGGAAGTACAGGGCCTCCACCCCAGCCTGTAGGTGACCTATGGTGACCTAGGCGTGACCTAGAGGGGGGGGGGTTAGGGGGGGTTAGGGGGGACCAATGGTGCGTGACCTCCCTCCCCCCCCCCACTGTTTATGAGTGAAAGGACAAGAGACTGTGCCCAAGCGTATTTAAGAACCTGTTATTTCCTCACCAGATGATCTGATAGCTTGGTTATGTAAGACACACCTGTTCCCCCCTTTACACACCTGGCCTCGTAACTCATCACACACCTGTAATCACTCACCATCTCCCACATCTGACCACTCGTGTGCCACGGCTGCCGGCCAATATTGCCTCTGCCACAGTTATATCAGAAGCACAATACCATTTGTAAACACAAGGAAGATTTGCATTTTTTATTCTGTTTCACGGCTTCGGCCCATATTAAGTGTTGCAATGGTGGGTGGTGCAGGGAGGGCTGGCTGGCTGGCTGGCTGGCTGGCTGGCTGGCTGGCAGGCTGGCTGGTTGGTTGGCTGGCTGGCAGCAGGCTGGCTGGCTGGTTGGCTGGCTGGCTGGCTGGCTGGCTGGTTGGTTGGCTGGCTGTCAGGCTGGTTGGCTGGCTGTCAGGCTGGTTTGGCTGGCTGTCAGGCTGGTTGGCTGGCTGTCAGGCTGGTTGGCTGGCTGGCTGGCTGGTTGGCTGGCTGGCTGGCTGGCTGGCTGGCTGGCTGGTTGGCTGGCTGGCTGGCTGGCTGGCTGTTTTGCTGGCTGGGTGTTTGGCTGGCTGGCTGCTGGCTGGCTGGCTGGCTGGCTGGTAGGCAGGCAGGCTGGCTGGCAGGCAGGCAGGCTGGCTGGCTGGCTGGCTGGCTGGCTGGCTGGCTGACTGGTTGGCTGGCTGGCTGGCTGGCTGGTAGGCAGGCTGGCTGGCTGGCTGGCTGGCTGACTGGTTGGCTGGCTGGCTGGCTGGTTGGCTGGCTGGCTGGCTGGCTGACTGGCTGGCTGGGTGGCTGGGTGGCTGGGTGGCTGGCAGGTTGGCTGGCTGGCTGTTGGCTGGCTGGCTGGCTGGTTGGCTGGCTGGCTGGTTGGCTGGCTGGCTGGCTGACTGGGTGGCTGGCTGGGTGGCTGGCTGGGTGGCTGGCTGGGTGGCTGGCTGGCTGGCAGGTTGGCTGGCTGGTTGGCTGGCTGGCTGGCTGGCTGGCTGGCTGGTTGGCTGGCTGGCTGGTTGGCTGGCTGGCTGGTTGGCTGGCTGGCTGGATGTCTGGCTGGCTGGCTGGCTGGCTGGTTTGCTGGCTGGCTGGTTGGCTGGCTGGCTGGCTGGCTGGCTGGCTGGCAGGCTGGCAGGCTGGCTGGCAGGCTGGCAGGCTGGCTGGCTGGCTGGCTGGCTGGCTGGTTGGCTGGCTGGCTGGCTGGTTTGCTGGCTGCTGGCTGGCTGGCTGGCTGGCTGGCTGGCTGGCTGGCTGGGTAGCTGGCTGGCTGGCAGGCAGGCTGGCTGGCTGGGTGGCTGGCTGGGTAGCTGGCTGGCTGGCAGGCAGGCTGGCTGGCTGGCTGGGTGGCTGGCTGGGTGGCTGGCAGGCTGGCTGGCTGGCTGGCTGGCTGGCTGGGTGGCTGGCTGGCTGGCTGGCAGGCAGGCAGGCAGGCAGGCAGGCAGGCAGGCAGGCAGGCAGCACCTTAGCTCATGCTACTGCTACTTTTGGCTCCCAATAGCTGAATGTTAACCCAAAAACAAACTTTTAGTGTAAATAACGAGAGTTGGACCACCTGCTGCCTCCCCCCCCCATACACACACAAATCACAATAGCCTGATAGATCAAATGAACAAATCCACAAATGCCTTGGTCAGGATTCGAGCCTGTACATGGGATGTTCCCAGACGGCTGAAAGGCATTCGAGCGCATGCGCCATGACCTCCCCCCCCCACCACCTACGAGTTCAGGTCAGGTCGAGCCACCGCCTCTCACAGCCTAATGACCTATTACGTAACTATATAACCCACAGGTCAGTCAATTACGACATATAAAAGGTAAAAA